ATATAAATATGTAAATATAGAAACAAAATCCAAACAAATACAACTAATTTGCAATGTTTTTATATCAAATTCCTGAAAAATAAAAAAAGATATCGCTAACCAATTATAATTGATGATCAATCAGTTGAGATGGTTATACTATTATAGTAAACACAGTTTTATACACAGTATGAAAATATAATAACTATAGTTTTAGAAGTTGATTCTACACAATCATTTTAAAGTTAATCTGTGAAATAGATCCAAATATATACATCCCAGCATGGAATGGAAAATAACAAAATCAATGAATACTGATATCAATATTGTAGCTCATCAAGGATAAAATCTGGGTTTGGAAAATTTGATAAAACGAATTTTGTAGTGGAAATTGCTTAGACAATCATCCATTGAACAATTACACCCATGTTTCAGATATGTTGTTAGAACAAAGGAATAAGTTTGTTGGGCAAAAAAATAAATAAATAAAACAAGAACAGTTATTAATTTAACATTCAAATAATTATTCTGTGAATGAAACATTAATTCCCTTTTCCTGCCAACTTTGTACTCTCCCAAACATGTGAAAAACAATGTATCATTTTGCTACATTACCAAACGTTAAGCCATGTAAAATGCAAAACAAGTTCATTTGAGCAATATTTTCACAAGTTTTCAAAATTAGTTGAAAGTTCTTAAGCAGCTTACGGTTTGTTCTAACATTATTATTAACTTTTATGCATAATGTTATGTTATTTTTTGAAATATTACATGATATGCACATTATTCTTACAATACTCGTGAAGTTACACATATTAAAAACACTCTAAGATTATATTCACCTGTATTTTGTTTTATAATATTCTGTTGATTTTTCTAACTATTCTTTCAAACACATTAGTAGTAGTAACACATAATTAACATAGTTGATTACAAAAGAATTTATAAATTTCAAACTATGAAAATAATACAAAAAATACAGACCTGTTGTTGGTCTATGTTGAATGATCGAGGTTTAAGATCGACTTTCATCCAATGATCCAGGCAGGGTAGAATAATGACAAATCCTCAACGAAAAATTTCTTATTACCACCAAAACAATTTCTACATTTTATACACACAAATTTTTCCTTTCAAGTTTCATTTGCAACAGTTTAATAGACAGAAGTACTACTTCTACCTGATATAATGAAAACTGCATGATTCAGTCTTATTATGCTACACACATTTGCTGCTTGTCCATCATCACAATAAAATATTTAGTACCAATATGAACTTATGAAAAACCTGCTTTTAATAAAATTATATTTCATATTGGTGAATTCCAAGCTTTTTGATAAAATATGTGAATGAAATGTCTAAGTCGTACTTTCCCACTGACTTAAAATGTACTGTATACTCCTCTTCATATTTTACAAATACTGATCATGTAAATCAGTCATCACACATAAAACCTTAGATGAACAGAACTTTATGTTAAAACACAAAAACAGTACCTTTATAAACCATAACACCAGTTTCTAAAACAATATAATATTATCTTGATACTTTTGGATATAACAAGTACAATTGAATAATGTGAAAAGTAGGGATTAAAAAACTTACCAGGTCCCTTTACTGGAAGCATTTTTCCCATTCTGAAAATAACCACTCTCTCTAAAGCTGGAACTTTCTGAAAGGCAAACAAGAGACATTTATAGTTTAATATATTCTTGTGTCATACATGCAGTAATATTTAAGTGTACATGAAGTGATATTTTACATCATATTTTAATGCAGTTTTGGAAACCTTATACATACCATCCACCTGCATGGAAGGCAAGATTTGAAGGTAGAGATATAAGTTTTTTTAACTGTATGTAAGTTTAATGAATTTATGTAAAGTGAGCACATCTGATGCTGCTTTCCTGGATGTGGGCTTGAAAAACACTAATTTTGTATGATAATGAATTTGTACAATTATATGTCATAGCTGAAAAGGAAATGTAAAAATTACAGTTTAAATGCAGAAAGCTGGTCTAATAGACAAAGTCTAGAATTGAATGAAAGGCCACTTTGTTTGTGACTTTATCTTTAATCCCCTAGTTACCAATTTTTTCAACATTCATTACTGGTGAAACTCACATAATGCATCAATGAGTAATTTTATATTTTTTGTGAATAAACATTCATTGTAAAGAAGTGACCAAAGGAAATGAGTCAAATTCCCATTTTCTAAGCAAAACATATAGGAGGATCCAGCTATAATTAGTGAGGTTAACTGCAATATTGACTGTGTATTTTTATTTTTTTCTATCACTCTTATATTATTTGGGGCCCTGTAAACCATAATCAACAAATTCATAGACAAACAAGCAATTTAGGACAAAAATAGTTTAGAAACAAAGAGGCTTAAAAGGTAATAGGTCCCACTCAGACCACGATGGTAACTAGGGATAAACTGAATCCCACAATTTATTTAGGTTTTACTTTCTGTACAAGTTTGATGAGTTCTTTGCTTGTACACAGCTACATTTCAGAACTTTACGGATTGTACAGTTTTAAATTCATTGTAAGTTGCTAAACTGAATCTCAGTTTGTTATTCAAAAAAAAAAAGACACACTTGTATTAAAAAATAAAATACTTTCTGTGGCACCCTTTATATTGGCACTTCCAAGAAAAAAAAAGTCCCTTGTGGGATGGTTGACAATGCATCCAACAAGGTCATTATCTTTAATTTTCCACAAATCACTTTCCAACTGGCCTTTCATTCAGTTCCAGAACTTGTCCATTCTGCATTTAAGTTGTAAGTTTTACAGTTCATTTAGTGATAAAAATTTCAAGTAAAATATTTTATAAGCAATTAGTATAGTATATCATTTTCATGAAAGGATTGCACTATTTAATGATTACCTGAAAATCTTAATTCAAGTTATAGCCATTTTAGTCACCAATTGAATTTTTACAATGGTGTTTAACAATAATGTATTATGTAAAAATGGTTGTAAAAGAGATCAGAAATTCTATTTTTTACACACTTTTGACTTGAAATACAAAATGGACAAATAAAGAGAAATGTGGCAAAAACACTATCTACAGTTGCAGTGATTTTTAGTTGTGTATTTGAGTATGTTACATGCTAAATTAAAATTATTAACCATATCTGCACAGGTGGAGGTCAAAATGTGAATGCCCTGACTTTGTACATTCAACATAGCATTACACATTTGATGTATGAAGGAGAAAAGTATTTTTATTCTTCACATGATCATTACCTTGCACTACTTGTCAGAGTCTGAATCAGATAGACTTTGGCATTTCACAGGCATATCTTTAGCAACACAACTGATTGTTTGTATAGAACAAACTTGTACTATTGACTTAAAGTTTGCCACATTTCACGCAGATGCATTTTGTAAATTCAAAACTATAGTCAAAATTACTTCTCCAATGCAGGGTCGATCACTGGACCTAGTGCACATTCTGTTAATGTAAATTAAGAGCAAAAATTTTTACAGGAGATTATTATAATTGGGATAAAATGTTAACAAAACCACAAAAATCCCATTTTGAGTTATTTCGAGATAGTGGGGCATTTATCATGAATGTACAGTTTAAATAGCATGCACATTATCGTTTTTTACACATACACACACATATGTTTACATTTGGAGTATTGTGTTCAGTCTTGGGCTCCTTACCTTAGGAAGGGCATTGAATTGTTGGAAAGGGTTCAGAGAAGAGTTACTAGGATGTTTCCTGGGATGGAGAGTTATCATATGAGGAAAGATTAAGATCTCTGAAATTGTTTTCTCTTGAAAAACGAAGGATTAGAGGGGGGTCTCATTGAGGTATTTAAGACTGTTGACCTATCTATCTACAACTATTATCACTCTGAAATAACTACAATAGATACAGCATTCAATGAGCTATTGTTTGAAAGATATTTTCCCCATATTTTTCAACATAGGTCAAAATAAAACATTTCTGTCCACTTCAATTGCAGTACTGATTTAAAATGTTATGTGCCCTTCCCTCAGTAAAACAAGTATAATGTTGCACACATAATAGAGATAATGCAAAATTGAATATATATATATATATCATTCTTCATTCTCTTTGTTTCTTTGCAACTAAGTTGAAATACAGATAATATGTGACTACTATTTGATATGAAATATTTTAATCTGTGGAACTAAATCTCTACTAATAGATTAAGTCACCTTAGAGAAAAGTGGATAGAACAGGATGAAAACAAAAATATATTAAGTTGATCACAATTCCATCCATAGGAAAGACTGTTATGGATAATGTTTATAATTAAAAATGTTTCACATTTTTTTAAAACCTTTTATTTCGAAAAAAAACAATCCTTTTATATACAAAATATTTTTTTATATACACACTGTTTAGATACTGCCACAACTTACAAGACCTAAAACAATGAACATGCAAAAAACAAGATATTTAAAATTGTTTGTTTTTGTATACACCTTATATAATATACTGTATGATGATTTTGAGAATACTGAGGCTTATTCAGAGAGTCATTTTAGGCATCTCAGATCAAGATTATTAAAAAAAAAATGAAAATAACTCATGCAGAATAATGATGTAAAAACCTAATATTGTGAAAGTGATTTTTTTTTACATTTTGTAAAATCCTTTAGACAGAATTAAACAATGAAAATATGAGATTGCACTGTGTGCATCTTTTTGTTTTATGACTATTTTTCCTTTTCTATTCTATAGATGGTAAATATTAAAACACCCTATGATTGCAACCATATCCACTATTAACTACAATGTTAACTTAAATGTTGGCTTAAGCCTCAAGTATATATTTAGTAAATGCACATTTGATTCACTTACTGAGGTTTGTCCCTTGGCTTGGTGACAAGAGCTAATACTATTGCAGCAATACAGATCATAAAACTCTAGTTAACACAAGTTGCTTATGATACTATTCACTGTAATAATTTTTCCTTCACCCAGTTCTTCCATTAAATTTCAATCACCAAATAGATGTAATATTTTTAGTAATGGATAATATTTGTCCACATATTACTTGTTCTTGGCATAAAAAAAAATGCAATGCATGCAGACTGACCTTTATACTTAACCAACCAGTCAGAGGAAGTGTGATCAATACCATCACATAGCAGATTACTGTCATAATGTTTCGGATAACCTGCGACACCACTGATTCTTTTTTGGACTTTTCTATGAAAGGAAATAAAAAAAAATTAACTTACCATTGATTTTTAACATAGAAAATCTTTTTATGTGCATTGTTGTAAGCTATGTTTTTATGCCATAATTTAGATGTTAGATAGAGAGTACATGATGTTAAGATCAAGCAAGGCCTAGAAATATCTATAGCAAATGTAAATTATAGATATTATGTTCTGTAAGACATTGGGAGGTAAGTTATAAAGTGGGTTGTTTTATGTTAGATAACACCATCTTTAATGTAAGCCTACAATAACTTAGAGCTGTAAACAAGTGTTCATGTTTGAAGAAATGCTAAAGGAGGAAACAAATACTTTACCACATTACATAGATTGGACATTGAATTACTTTCAGTAGATAATTTAAAAGAACCCACCAATGAAAGAACAATGCTACAATAGTATTTTTTAAGTAACACGATACAAGTCAGGAATGAAAGTGTGCATAGTTTCATTCAGTGTTATGCAGTACTTGTGTGTACATTTATAGTAGTTGATGGAATTATAAAAAAAAAAAGACACAAACCTGGAGATGAGAATTGTGGTTCTGAATCATAAAGAACGCCTTGGCTGTAACTATAAATAGATCTATAATTCTGACTATTTCTCATAGGTGAAGAAGTTTTAATTAGAGTCTGTCCATAATCAAAAGCTGACTGATAGTCAAACATGAAGGTTTGGGTGCTGTTTTGATAAGAAGTGTCCTTAGAAGAAAACATTCCAGCAATTCTATTTGATAAGTAGTCACTAGGGAAAAAAATAAATAATGAATAATAAATACTACATTACATATTATACAAACAAATAGTACATGTAAAAAAAACTAATTGTAAATTTTCATATTAGGAACCAAACAAATACTTGTACATGTACCTGTAATTCATAAAAAATCAATTTGTCTAAGACTTCTGAAAACAATTAAATAATTTAATTCTGAAACCCAATAAAAACTACAACTTAATAGCCTTTCCACAAGTAGTCTATCATATATATCTAAGAAAGAAAGAAAAAAGAAAAAAAATGCTCACCCTACTGATGCCACTCCTCCACCTTAAAATACAAACAAAAAAGAGCACTAAAACTAGAACTAAATGTAGCCATTCACATCTACATGTATATATTTATGTGTATTCAACAACTATTAAAACATAATTTAAACAGGGCACACCATAATACCAAGTGTGCAAACTTCTCTACACATTCACAAAATGTCTGGACTACAATATGTGCCATTCATTCTAAACATAAAATGATAGCAAAGAAAACATATCCGAACACATATTTCAAGTGATTCATTAGTCCAATAGGTATACAAGTCCATATGTTTAATAATATGATCTTAAAGTCTACTTTTTGTATTAGACTAGTTTGCAACTGACAGAAGTACAACTGGAAATGAAATTACCTTATTTAATTGATTGTATGTATTCCCTTTTTGGTTTTCCCTTGCGATATACAGTTAATGTTTTCTTATAAATTATATGATGAATTACAAAAGTATATATATAACATTATAAAGTTAAGCTTGAAAATAAATCATTTGGATTGGTATTTTCTTGACTTACAATTATTACTATTCATGGCATAATCACAATTTCTTGACACTCGAGTGTTAGTTTTATTTAAAATTTGGAAATAGCAAGAACACTCTGCTAGTGAAATAATAAACTACATAATGATAATTCACGATGACAAGGAAACCACTTGACCTGATGATTACCTAAGGAGGTTGAAACATTGTGACTTGTTTTCTGATTTGTAAATAAAAGTTGTTAATACCCATATCAGCCATCTCTACTATATCTATACATAATGATAAATTTCACCAGCAGGCTTAATAGTATTAGTAATGTTTACAGTTTAGTAGTGCTGACTCAGACTGAATTGTAAGGTAGTTTAACCTTAATAAAAGTTTAAGGTGAATTTGGTGTAAAAAATAAAATTTATTTCATTATATTCTATGTTCGTCATTACTGTGTGACTGTGAAATAGTACAGTTTACAAATCATACTAAATGTGTAGCTAATTCATAGTACTCACTAGTAGTAGTAGTTGGAACCACATGCTTGCACTTACATTCATGATTCATACGTTAGAAATATATTTGACAAATTTCAATTCTTGTAATTAGGTTCGAAACCCATTGGGACAAACAATGAATTAACTGACACTGAATTTATATCACTACCACTGTACTAGTACGTTAGAGCGTAGAAACTAGAATTTACTACTACTAGTTTCCAGTTCTACGCTAAGTCTAACGTACTGATGGTACCGGTACTCAGTGGTACACTGGTAGTGGTATTATATTTATAAGTTTAACTGTAGTGTAGACTGCAGTGCGAAAGTCGAATTATGCTTATATTTTCGATGACGAGGAACCCACTTTGAGACTAATAATGGTTGGAGACGGCTTGAATGGGTAATGAAGAAAAACTTTAATATAAGTTTACATAA